CAAAATAATCACGGGGATGTAAAATAAAGCACAAGGGATATAGTCAATAATGTTGTAATAACTATGTATGGTGCCAGGTGGGCACTGGAAATATCAGGGGGATCACTTTGTAAAGTATCTGATTGTCAAACCACTGTGCAGTACACCTGAAACTAATACAAAATAATATTGAATGTAAACTGTAATTGAAAGATAAAATTTAAAGTTCTTTTAAAAATGTTTTCTTATATGTATTTTTCTTTTTTTAAAATATATTTTTTATTGATTTTTTACAGAGAGGAAGGGAGAGTGATAGAGAGCCAGAAACATCGATGAGAGAGAAACATCGATCAGCTGCCTCCTGCACATCTCCTACTGGGGATGTGCCCGCAGCCCAGGTACATGCCCTTGACCGGAATCGAACCCGGGACCTTTCAGTCCGCAGGCCGACGCTCTATCCACCGAGCCAAACCGGTTTCAGCTTTTTCTTATATATATTTTTTAATTCATATGGGTTTGTGTTATGTGAAAGTTAGCATGACTGGCTAAATTTAAAATATTCCTGTAATTTATTGCATACCCAAGAAGAAATACAGTTTAGTGAAATGTTCACTCTGATTTTCTCTGGGGGAAAAAAACAGCCCCATATATAGATGTAGGCTTACCAGCCTTTGCCCTTTCCTATACTTTCTATGCTTTATATATTGACTGTTTATATAAAGTGGAAGTGGCAATCTTCTTGACACCTCTAAAACTGATAGACGGTTCCAGTACAATCTTATAAAAAGGCAGTGGTTCTCAACCTTGGCTGCATATTTACCATCCATTTAGTCTTCACAACAGCTCTACAAAGGAGGCTTGGTTGGGATGCTCGCCAGGGCTTCAATGTAATTCTCTGCAGGGGGCACTATTGTACACCATACAATGCTAGGGGGCACTATTTAAATGATTGTTGTCCTAGATTTTTATATTATCTTTCCCCAGCAGATGGCAGTATGACATCTTTAGGAAGGGGACTGGTTTTTTGTTCTTTTCCCCCCTAATTCCAACAGAGGCATCATAGAGACTAGTGATGGGGCTAATTTATTACCTTTCTCTTTATATGCATGTGTCTCAGAGACGTGAAGCAACTCACCCAACATTCCTGATACCCAAGGCAGAAACACAGATTTTTTTTTCTTCCCATTTCAGAACCAGATTAAGTAAATACTCATGGGTGGGAAAACATCATTTACGCGCATAGATGGAATCTTATAAGATAAGAAAAGGCTTTGGCCTGGGTATCCTGTTTCCAAAGGGTTTCTTTAATCCTTAGGAAGAAAATCTTAAACGCTGCACATTCCTGGCATAGGGTGTTATAACCCTGCCTGTGCCCCTTGACAGCTTCACACACTGTCGACATTAACCAAGTGCACGTGTTCAATGTGAAGGCACAAATGCAGTGCTCTGGACCCTGGCCAAAAAGATCCTAAGGGAAAAGGGAACTATGAAAAGAAAAACTCGCACATCAAAGTGTGCTGAGGCTATAAACTGAGATACACAAAACTGAGAGCTGTCTAATAGTACAGCGATTGCTATACGAATGGCAGCCACAATCTCAAAATCCTTTAAGTAAAAATGTTATCGTTATTTCACTTGGTGGCAACATTCAGACAGAACTAAATTCCCTGAGCGGCAAAATTGCACCTGACTGAGGCAAGACCTCTTAGGGTCCTCATTGTTTCCTCTCGGTGTGAAAACTCACGTTTCACCACAATACTGTTATTGTTTGATCATCCAGTGCCACACCTGACCCCACTGGAGTGAGGGAAGCAGCATTTGCCACCCAAAATATATATATATATATTTATTGATTATTTTAAGCTGGTTGTTTTTAAGAAATTTTAAGCTGGTTGTTTTTAAGAAACAAAAGACTCCAGAAGAGCCTTTCCCCCCCTTCTTACCTGCCAAAAGGAACCCAGGAAGGGAGCTATCACCTTAACTTAATATGAACCAAGTGTGGCAGACAGGGAGGAGCCGAGCAAAGCCTGTTTGGCAGCCCACCCTCTGTGTTCCATTGCTGTGGCCCAGTTAGAATTTGTTTACCCAAATGCTCCTTTTTCCTCACCTACCTGTGAATTGCCTACCTTCCCTTTGACCTCCCAGTCCCCTGCCTCCCCTTCCTTAGCCCAGAACTGCCCCATTTGTCCTCGGGTCCCATATTCTTATGGAACCCCCATATGTATACATGTAATAAACTTGGCTATTTTCTCCTATTAATCTCTCTCGTGTCAATTTTTTAAAAAAATCCTCACCTGAGAATATTGAATTTAGAGAGAGGAAGGGAGAGAGAGAACATCTATGTGAGAGAGAAACATCAATTGGCTGCCTCTCCTACACACTCCAACAGGGACCGAACCTGCAACCTAGATGTGTGTCCTGATCCAGGAATCAAACCTGTGACCTTTCAGTGTACAGGATGATGCTTCAGCCAACTGAGCAACACTGGCCAGGGCTCTCTCTTGTCAGTTTAATTCTTAGGTAGGCCAGTCAGAAAAACTAAGAAGGAAAGGAGCAGAAATTCCCCCTCCCCTTCAATACCAACCTACTTGTATTAGTGTACATTTAGCAACAAGACATGGGAAAGTATTACCTGCAAAGAAGTGGACTTTGCAGTCAGGTAAAAGTCTATATGAAATTCATTTTATTCCATCCAGTGGCTATGCCTTCTTTTCTTGATTCAAATGAAACGTTGTGAAAACATTCTCTTTTAGCAGCCCAAAGCACTGAGCAAGTGAAGTGCAGGATATGTTCAATCGATGTAGTATTAAAAGTAAGCCTTATAATAAATTAACTTTATTTGTACTCTAGCATCTTATTTATTTCTGTTAATTTCATTCTTTATTCATCATTTCTGTAGAGGTAGAAAATTATAAGTGCTGTTTACTATACAAATAAATGATTGCTGGAGTCTTAACAGCCTCTAATTAGCAGCTATATGTTTTTTTTTTTTTTAAATATATTTTATTGATTTTTTACAGAGAGGAAGGGAGAGAGATAGAGAGTTAGAAACATCGATGAGAGAGAAACATCGATCAGCTGCCTCCTGCACATCTCCTACTGGGGATGTGCCCGCAACCCAGGTACATGCCCCTGACCGGAATCGAACCTGGGACCTTTCAGTCCGCAGGCCGACGCTCTATCCACTGAGCCAAACCGGTTTCGGCAGCAGCTATATGTTAAACCAGATTCTTGGTTCAGTAGATCTGTGTGGAGCCCAACAATTTATAGTGCTAAGCCCCCAGGTGATGGTGATGGTGGTGATGTTATCCAGATAAGATTTCCATCAGCACTGGATTAAGGTATAGCATATAGGCAAGACTCAAAGTAGGCCATTTTACAATGAGATTAGCTTGGACACAGGACTCTACACAAGACATCTGATTTGAATATGCTAAAATTTAAGGCCTAGCTTATGTTGGGATCAGAACTCCTTGGTTTTAGATTTATACCTGTTCTGCATTTTTAATCATATGGTTTCCTGGCTAGTTAGCACATAGAAAGCCCAAAGCTTAAAGTATTGCTGTGAAATATAACCACTATTCTTTTATCTTTAATATATTTTTATTGATTTCAGAGAGGAAGGGTGAGGAAGAGAGAGATAGAAACATCAATGATGAGAGGGAATCATTGATTGGCTGCCTCTTGCATGTCGGAATGAGCCCACAACCCAGGCATGTGCCCTTGACCGGAATCAAACCCGGAACCCTTAAGTCTGCAACGCTCTATCCACTGAGCAAAACTGGCTAGGTCTACAACCACTATTCTTTTTTTTTTTTTTTAAATATATTTTATTGATTTTTTTTTACAGAGAGGAAAGGAGAGGGATGGAGAGTTAGAAACATTGATGGGAGAGAAACATCAATCAGCTGACTCCTGCACACCTACTACTGGGGATGTGCCCGCAACCAAGGTACATGCCCTTGACCGGAATCGAACCTGGGACCTTTCAGTCTGCAGGCCGACACTCTATCCACTAAGCCAAACCAGTTAGGGCTACAACCACTATTCTTGAAGCTATATATTATAGATTAAAAGAGGCCACATGGTAACCTGATAAACTCAGGGAAGGCCTGCAAGGCGGCCTTACAAACTCAGAAACCTAAAGTAACCACAAAGGATGGTCTGAAATGAAAACTTTTTAACTAAAAGCAGTTTTTGGCAGGTAATCATGTCCTAGGCCAGCATCTGCCCTGACAAAAGTCAATCTTTACCTTAACTGAGCCTGTCTATTGTGTCTTTTTGCATCTACAATAACATATCCTTGGAATGTCAAAGTAATTTTCCTTTTTCTGGACCCCTCAAAACACAGGCACCACTCTGAGGAGACCACAAATCCCCTCATTGTTATTGAGTTTATTGTTGACTGGTAACTATTCTGTGTACCCACTTAAGTAAAAGATGTATGTGCCTATCACTTTATTTTTCATCTAATCCCAGAGTTTCCCGCTTTGCTTTTTCCCACTTCCCTAAACTATCACCAATGGATTTCATGTAACCTACTTATTTCTCCTCTTTTTATTATAATGTATAAAATACGGTGCAAAACTGGCATTCTCTGGAGCATTAGCTCAATCCGTTGAGATTTCGCTTCCCAGCAGCTGTCGGCAGTTTGGCTCAAATAAACTCATAAGAATGTTTCTTATGCTGACAATATACAATTGCTTAAGATGGAAAGGATAATTTTCTGTCATTTTACTTGTATAGAAAGTCTTTGAATTCTTTTGTCAGATGCGCATCGAGCTGCCTCCTGGCTGCGATCTGATCTGTGGCTCTAAAAAATTTCTTAAAGCAATGCAAATGAGATGTCTCAACACTTCTTCTGTTGTGTCTTTATAAAATACTGCCCTTTCAAAGTTGCTAATTAAAGAAGCAATATTTTAAAAAATAATCTGGAGCTAAAATGTAAGATTAAGAAATCCCACAACATGCTATACAATCTGTAAGAAATTCATTCTAATGGCCCTAAACAAAATTCTTACCTGCATAAGTTGCTGCTTCAATTTCTGTATTTCTGAAATGTTCAGCTCACTGAATAAGTCAGACACCGGGTGCAGAGACTCTCCCTTCCTCAAAGTGGGAGTCCGGTAGTCTCCGTTCAGTTTCACCAGAGGCCCGTGGATGTGGCCGTTCATTTTGTCATCATTGTTCGGTTCGCTCCCGTCCTCCGCAAACTTGAGCCCATCTACGGAGATGCTGATATGGTTGTCATTGAGGGTGATGTACTGGGACAGCTCCTTCCGCAGGTTGTTCTTTTGCTCCCTTTCGTTTTTCAAGGTCTCCAGGGCTTCTTCCAGTTGGTGCTCAGCGATCTCTTTCAACCGGATGGCATCTTCCAGCTGGCTGTTCAGCAGCACCGTCTCCTCTTCAAATCGCTTAATCTCATGCTTTAAGCCTTCGTATTCAACCTGAATAAGATAGGACAGAGAAGATTCATAAAACTAAAATTTGCGTCTTACAAAACTGCCATTAGACACTCTAGTGGACCTAATCATTAAAAAAAAAAATCAAAACATTCGTCTACAAAATAAATCTATAAAGAACACAGTAAATAAACCCTTACGGTAACACAGGATGGTTTCTTTAGAAATTACATATCAATATAAATTCAGTTCTTAGCAGAGATGAAAATGTGTTTTGTCTAAGGATTTCTTTTATGGGGTCCCTGCTGGCCTAATAAAACGGGGATTTTTTTCTTTCATAATTGTTTATGAGACTATTCACAACCAAGATTTCATCATCACTATTACTTGGTTTTCTTTAATTATTAATAATGAAGTAATTTTTATACCCAGAGATAAATTAGTTAAAAGATCACAATAAAAACATAATCTCAATAAAAATGTTTAAGGGTAAGATAGGAAGCAAAGAAAAATTTTATGTGCTTAAGAACAGAATCTGGAATACCTATTATGAAATAATATATATAGTATTGTTATCAATGTAATATTCTTTTGAATTATATCAAATAAGAGCCTGCTCGAACAGCCTCTTGGTCATGAAAGTGCGGAGGGAAAAGACTTCTACTCTAAACCAACATGCCTTCCTTGGGGCCTTTTCCATGGCACTTATCACAGGCACTTTTCAATAAATATTTTATTTGCACAACTACCTTGTAATCTCCTCAGAAAGGGGAAAGACTTTTTATGCACCTAGGTGTCCTTCCTAATGCTTCAATGTTTCTTTATAGTGTTTTTAACAGAATTCTGCTCTGCAATAAGTATTTGCTGAATAAACTATTGTGGATAAAAAAATTGAGTAGAAAAAGTAATATAATAAAGTCATTATGATATGAGGTACTAACATTACTTATGTGTTTAGTTTTAAATTTACTTTTGTTTATATTAGTTTAAACTTGTATTTTAAAAAAGCTTTTAAAGACTAAAAAATAGGGATCATAGACCATTATCACTTTCATACATTTCTAATTCTCCCCCACCCCCACCATCCTTCTTCACATAATCTCAATGCAATGGCTTGTCTTGCAAAGGTTAGGATAACAGTTTTCAATATAGTTTTAGTTAGAATGTAGGTTTGGCTGATGTAACGGAGACCTAAATAAGAGCGATTAGTTGAGATAGGAGTTTGTTTTCCTTATGGAAATAGTCAATCAAGGATCAGTAGAAATCTCTGCTCCATGAGGTCATCCAGGAACCAGGCTCCTTGTATCTTATTGCACTACCTCTCATTTTGGTCCAGATGGTCCAAGGTGGCTTGCCATCTTGATTATGTTCCAAGCAGTGGGACAAGGTAAGGGGCATACCTTCTCCCTTTAAGGACCTGTCTCAAAGGTTGTCCATATCACTTCTCCCCATATCCCACTGGCCAGTACTAGTCATATGACACTTGGTTGCAAGAGAGGTGAAGAATATACTTTTTACTCTGTGTAGACTAGTGCCCCGTTAAAAACTGGATACAACATTGGGAGAAGGGAACAATGGATACGGATGGACAACCAACACTTACTGCTATACAGGGTCACTGAAATTTCACAGGTCCATAATAATATTATTTGTAAGAATTAAGTCATGGAAATTGCTTGGAATAACAGCATGTTGTATCGTGTTTTCTTCCAGGGCTGCTTATATACTATGAAGCTGTCTTCATCCTGACCTTCTCCTTTTCTTTCCCTGGACAATTCAGGACACCTTAGTTAATATTTCAACCAATCCTCTGACTGCCCCAGATTGTATAACAGCTTACATCTGCAGACATTAGTTTGCATTACAGACCTTTTTGTTCTTTAATCCCCATTAAACTGATAACCTAGACCAGGGTTTTTCAAACATTACTGTGCCTTCTGGACCAAATCCAGCCCACCATGTATTTTTGTAAATAAAGTTTTAGTGAAACACAGTCACACTTTTTTGTTTATATATTGTCTATGGCTACTTTTCATGCTACAACAACAAAGTGCAGTGGTTGCAAGAGAGACTGTATTGCCTGCAAAACCTAACATATTTACTATCTGGCCCTTAAAAAAAAGCTTGTTGACTTCTGGGCTTGATGACATAAATTTAGTGTATTTTGTAGATTTTTTAATTCTGTGATTTGTATTCAATTGATGGTAGACTTCCTATGACACCTGATCTCTTTCTATTTGGGCAGCTTCACTCACTCCACTCACTGGTTCAAGCTCCTAATAGTCAACCAGATATTTTTGTCTTTCTCTGCTTAGGCAAAGGCTAACATCTGGAAAACTCTTATTTATCCTTCAAGATCCAAATCAGGAATCTAATCCTAACTCCAGTCTTTGTTGACCCACTCAGGCTAACAGCTCACTCCTTCATGGTGCCATCATTGTAAGGAGGCCTCAGATAATTAGAGCCCCAGCAAACTGTATCAACCAAGAAACAGGATGAGAAGGCACTTAAGAATTGGTATCCAATATTTAAAAACAGCATCAAAGTAGTTACCATCAGAAAAAAAAATCAGTATTTTGTTGGGATTCCTTATAACAAGCTCTTTTTATTTTTGACTACATGGGGGTGAGAAATAGGTACCATAACTTTTTCAAAGTCTGAAACTCTAAAGATCTTAATGTGGCCCTGTATTGCCAAACCTAACACATAGCTTTAATATGCAACTACACGGATGGCTGAGTTTATGACCTGCCTTCCTTACTGGGACTATACGTTCTTTGAGCCAGTGACCATGTCTTTGTCCTTAAAAAAAGTATATGGCTTTATAGAAAAATACCCTGGAAATATTGGTTCAATGAAATCAAACTGAATTGATAACAGTTCCCTAGGTCTCTTATGATAGTATTGCCTGATATAGAAATATATCCCTGGAGGAAATGTTTTTCATAATAGACATAAATTGAATTATTAATTTTAACAAGTAGATAACACATATTTGAATGCTTTAGTTCAATATGTGAGATATTAGGGAAATGGAATTTATTATTTCCCCCTCCTCTCACCATCACATCTCTAAAAATTAAAACCAACATAATTTCCTGCCCTATGTTAAGTAATTGTTTAATACTGCAACCAGGCAAATTTTCCTATCCCTCGTCCCTGCTACCAATAATAGGACGAGGCATAAAAAATTTAGCTGCTTACAGGGACGACTCGCTCCTGGAAGATGAGACCCAACTAACACAGCTTCCTCAAGACTCACGTCAAGATGCTCACTCTGTTGTACTTTCCAACTCAAAGCTATTATGTCATAAACTCGGTCTATGCCAACCAGTTTGCCACCTGGCAAAACCCAGTCCAGATCCTAAAATCCTATGAACACTCTTCCCTAACGCTCCCATTTTGAGACATTACTAAGGTTTTGTCGAGGTGGTTTCTTTTGCAAGAGGTCTAGTAAACAGCTTTGCTTCATCAGTGGATTTTTTTGACAGTTGCCTTGACCGCTCTTTATCACTGCTGCTTTTCCTATGCTTCGCTTTGTTCTAAAAAGCATAAAAGGTGGAAAATGCATTCAGCATGATTTCATTTTGGACACAGAACCAAATCAGCACACGGAGGGATGTGGCTCAAGTTTGCAGTCAACTCGTTGATGATGTTCCATATATTTCACATTTAGGAGCACATATAAAAATTGGTTTGGTGAATTATAATTTCCTCTCTCAGTTGAAGAGTGAATGAAACAGAAATTTAAGAACAATTTATTATTTCCTTCAGCAGGTATTTATTTAATGCCTCCCATGGCCGGGCTCTATTCTAGGTGAGGTGCTACATCTTAGTGGAGGGAGATGGAAAATAAACAAACCAATACATAGAAACTATAAAGGAAATAAAAAGTGCTATTTAAACAACATCTTTAAAGAAAATAACCAATAAGGAAAATGGAACTTTAGAAGGAAAGAATCTTCGAGTTCTTTGAACTAAGTCTAGTATAATGCTAACAGCTTTCCGCTGAGAGAAACATCAAACCAGGCTGGGGAGTATATTTTGTATAGAGAGCTTCAGTTAAAAGCAACAATCAGACCAATTTTGAGATTGAAAGTCAACCATCATCATCTGTTTGGAAAAAATATCTGTGGCATAAATTGTATACTTAATATTTCGTTAATTATATAGGGAGTTTATAATAGATGCTAACTCCTATAAATAAAGGCCAATAGTAGGAGACAAAAACCAAACCAGCATTTCCTTAATTGGAAGAGACTGTGACATGACAGTGTACCCCTTTGTCAGGGAATAAGCCAGAATGGCCCTTTGTCAGGGAAATTATTTCAAATTAATGAACTAGACACTTAATTGGGAAATTGTCATATTGCATCTAGAAAATAAAATTAAAGAAATGTATCCATTTTCCTACTTGCTTTTTCTTCTTCAAACTTCTGAGTTAAGCATTCGATTCCCACGTTTCAATTACCGGTGGAAGGGCACGGGTAAACTGTAAACAGTAATCTGCCAGACTGCTCGTACACACTCCCACCGAAGCGGCATCTGGGTTAATGAGGACTCACAGGATACCTTGGCAGACTTTCAAGAATACGTAATACTGGCCTAAATTAACCTCCTGAGTAAATGAGTCTGCCACATGCAGTGATGGGAGGTTCCACAGCGAGGCTCTGGGCGCACTCCTGCCTGTGCAGAGAGCACTGAGGACTTTTAGGAATCACAAATAATGACCGCTTTAAATATTTGCACTTCAAGTATATTTGCTTCAAGGCCTTTACATACTTCATGAGCGACCAAAAAAAACCCCACCAAACAAAAAAAAACACAGACCACAAAAAATACCCTTCTTACTTTAAGAAGTTCATGAGAAGCATCGTTTCTAAAAAATTCTTTGATGTATAATTTTCTCCAGTGTGAGCTCAATGACCCCAGTCAAATCAAGAGCTGGAATGTCCATGGTATTGAGAGCCCTCTGCGCGCACACACAGTGATTCAGGCTTAAAGGGGAGGGAATGAGGTAAGATCACATGGTGACATCCTGGTAACCCTTTTTTCATGGTCTGAAGTCATCCCCGCACTCCTTAGAAGACATCTTGTTCCCCCACATTCCAAAAATGGGGGAAATGGCAATGATCAGAAATCAAATTTCAATTGTATCAATACCTAGATGTTTTTTTCCTTCTGGATATTTCCTTTCTTCTCTTAACCCCTGTATCTATCAAAAGCAATAATAGTTTGGGATCGAGCTACCAACTTGAGTAGAAGTAGAAGCATACATCTGTGCTGGCCTTTACGTCTACTGAGGGCAAGGATGCTATCCTATGGATTTCATATCTTTCTAGCCTAGCACAGAGCCTGGTACCTAGTGTGATGACCTGAACTGAGAAGTTACAATAGCATTTAGATCAGAGTAGAGGTTGTGGCTGAAGAAGCACCTTGAAAAGATCTTGAATATACAATCCAGCTTCGCTTAATTACTTGATAAAATTGTATTCATAAATTCTTCTAAAATTACAGGTTCAAGAATGCTATAACTAATAACGGAAATTAAACAATTAAGCTAAGCCTCACTACCAAAAAAATTTATTTAAACGTACACATGCAATCTGTTTAGTCAGGTTACAGCTAAAAAAAGAAATCAGGCATTTTCTTTTTCTTATAATTTTGTTCTTACTGCTTTATATTTCTTAAGCCATTTGCTTATATAATGCAAATGTAATTTTCAGCTCGAGAGAGAGAGAGAGAGAGAGAGAGAGAGAGAGAAAGAGAGAGGAGAAGAGAAGAGAGAGAGGATTGCTGGGAGACCTTAAGTTTGTAATTCAGAACAAGCTTATAGATTGGGTTTTTAATAAGTTGTCAGGTTAAGTTATTATAATACATATGATTTACTCCTGAAAAAAGTTAACATCGAGCTAAAGTAAAAAACTGAAATTTTTCTTACCCAATGGAACTTTATTGTAAATCATACAACTTCTAGGTTTGCCTTCTAAATCTTAGCTAAAATAGAAGGATTGGGAAATTTCTTAGCTAAAATAGAAATGCTGGGGAATTTCAGCACATAAATATTGTAGGGAGATTAAGGCATATTTTGACAGGTTCCTAACAAAGAAATAAAGAGAAGACTTAACCTTAATGGTCCGAAGACGTGGTCCATCTGGAGTGTAACCAAATAACTTCTTAAATCTTACCTGGTTCTGTTTTAATGTGGACACAAGTTTCTGCAACGTGATATTTTCTTCTTCCAGCTCAGTATAGTCCTGAAGGAGCCGGGCCTCTCGGAATTTATATTCTCGAATTTCATCCTTCATCCGTATTCTCTGTAGCTCCATCATTTCATTGTTCTGAAACAATACAATAAACCATCAATACAAACCTTTCTTATTCTAGGTATTATGAAGTGTAAAGTCTGGGTAGTTAAAAATACTGCCATTTAATAATGGCAATAGATGCTGAGAAATTTGTGCCATTAAATAATGGCAATAGATGCTGATAAATTTGTCTTCAGGCGATTTCTTTGTGGTGTGAACATCACAGAGTGCATTTACACAAACCTAGGTGGTCCAGCCTACTACACACCTACGCTCTATGGTATAGCCCAGTGGTTGGCAAACTCATTAGTCAACAGAGCCAAATATCAACAGTACAACGATTGAAATTTCTTTTGAGAGCCAATTTTTTTAAACTTAAACTATATAGGTAGGTACATTGTTATTAACTTAATGAGGGTACTCCTAAGCTGGCCTTTGCTAAAACTGTCCTCAATCTGATTGAGGTACGTTCGCTGAGGTTGACCCCTTCCAACTCTCCCATCCACACTCGTCTTGTATACTTGTTCCGTCTATCTCCTTTCGTTCATCCTCTCTATATGTCCAAACCATCTCAACATACCTTTCTCATCTTCTTTCCCTCCACAACGTTCCCTAAAATTAACTTAATAAACTTTACTTAAAGTTTTAAGTCAACTTCGCACTGTACGTGCGCCCGCACGTGGTATTTTGTGGAAGAGCCACACTCAAGGGGCCAAAGAGCCGCATGTGGCTCGCGAGCCGCAGTTTGCCGACCACTGGTATAGCCTATTGCTCCTAGGCTACAAGCCTGTACAGCATGCTACTGCACTGCACAAAAACAACACAAGAGTAAATAAAACACAACAGAACGTGATTCAATCAAGAGACACAGTAAATACAAGATGTATTTTATAAAGGAAGTTACAAAGTGTTTTATGCTGCTGCCGGCATAACACGGCATACTGTCTTAGAGCAAACTTCTTTTACATAAGTAGGAAGAGTACACTCTAGTATAATGATTAAAAGTATAGTAAACACATAAACCAGTCCAATAGTCCTTTACTATCATTATCAAGTATTATGTATTATACATAATTGTACTAGTATGTGTTATTCTTTTATATGATTGGCGGTGCAGTAGGCTTGTTTATACCAGCATCCCCACAAACATGTGAGTAATGTGTTGTCCTACTATGTTAGGACAGCTCTGATGTCACTAGGCGATAGGAATTTTTTTAATCCTCACCCAAGGATATGGGGTTTTTTTAAATTTATTTGAGAAAAGAGAAAAAGGGAGTGGGGAAAGAAAGAGAAGGAGCAACATCGATGTGAGAAACATCAATCAGTTGCCTCCCCTAAGTGCCCAGATCAGGATCGAACCTGCAACCTAGTTATATGACCTGACTGAAAATTAAATCCCCAACCTTTAGTGTACAGATGACGCTCCAACCAACTGAGCCATCTGTCCAGGGCAGCGACAGTAATTTTTAAGCTCTATTTTAATCTTATAGAACCACTGTACATATGTGGTCCATCGTTGACCAAAACATTATTATGTGGCGCACGACTGTACCATAATTTCAAAGCAAAGACGGTATTGCAAAATGCCTGCAAGTACTGAGATGTGGTATGAAAATATTGATCACAAAGTAACAGGTGCTGCTAATACTACTGAAGTTTGTTGCCTACATTCAAATGGAAGAAAATGCTAAGTTTCAGTCTGAGTTTAGTGAAAATAGATATGTAATTATTTTTTCCATCCACATTTCCCATCCTGAATTCTATCCATAGTCTCCGAGGACCCAGATTAGGAAACTTCTGTTTCTACTTGTCTCTTAGGTCTCAGTTCAAATGTCGACTTCTCAGAGAGGCTTCCCTGAATAGCTAATATAAAACAGCTCCTCCCTTTACTCACCATCACCCTATTTTATAGATCAGCATCTAGCACTGAGTAGGTACTCAAAAAATAATTGTTTTGGGGAGGGTGCTGGAGCAGGGTGGAGGGGGTCAATGGAGGACATCTGTAATACTTCCAACAATAAAAATAAATTAAAAAAAACAAAAAAACCCAAACTCATCTTAATTCCATCACCCAGAGAGATCACTGTTAATGCTTTAATCTGTAACCCTTTATACATCTTGTCTATACATAGCTGTACATATGTTTAAGAAATGAATCTTGCCCTAACCGGTTTGGCTCAGTGGATAGAGCGTTGGCCTGCAGACAGGTTCGATTCCTATCAAGGGCATGTACTTTGGTTGTGGGCACAACCCCAGTAGGGAGTGTGCAGGAGGCAGCTGAATCGATGTTTCTCTCTCATCGATGTTTCTAACTCTCTATCCCTCTCCCTTCCTCTCTGTAAAAAAAAATCAATAAAATAAAAAAATAAAAAGAAATGAATCTTACGATGCAAAGATATTTTACAGCCTATTTTCTCACTCAATAAATTGTATAACTCCTTCCATGTTAAAAAAAATAATAATACTAATTGTTGAGGGAATAGTGTAGCACTAATCATTACTTGAAATTGGTTCTTTCCTTACTGTTTACACTTTTTACATTGACTAAATTTCCTTTTCATCTGAATATAATAACCTTTCTGTGTTGTTCATCAATGTGTTCTAATTTCTGGCACATTTTAGGCCTTCATATCCATGGAATAAAAAACAAAACAGTAAGCAAATGGTTAAACACAAAATTTTAAAAGAATATTATTGCATGGATGGTGGTGTTTTGTCTTGCATTGTTTTAGAGTGTGGAATAAAGGGAAAATAACGCACTTTGAACTAAAATATGCCTAAATAACTAGACATTTAATTCTTCTTCACTACATAGTCTAGCGACTTGGAGGCAGAAACATTACTTTATTCCCTGCTCCCTGGACGATACTTTGAGCATACATGCTCAAAAGTATACAATAAAAAATGATAAAGTTTGGCGATAAAGCCAAATTATAAAATTTCATTAAATTATTTTATTTTGCTGCCAAAGCCGGTTTGGCTCAGTGGATAGAGCGTCGGTCTGCAGACTGAAGGGTCCCAGGTTCGATTCCGGTCAAGGGCATGTACCTGGGCTGCGGGCACATCCCCAGTGGGAGATGTGCAGGAGGCGGCTGATCGATGTTTCTCTCTCATCGATGTTTCTGGCTCTCTATCTCTCTCCCTTCCTCTCTGTAAAAAATTAATAAAATATATTTTTAAAAAAATTATTTTATTTTGCAGAAACATGAATCCTTGATATTTTTTCTACTTCTCAAAAGATCTACTATAACTGAGTGATATATCAATAGTTTTCCTTATTTATGTGTATAACAACATGAGGAAGCCTGGTAAATTGGATGCCAGTAATTTATATAAAACTTGTAAAGAAAATGTTAAGATACAAGAGATTCTGTAAAATGTGTGTACACTGTAAAAAATGTAATGGCCAGAGGCCTCGTTTGCATATACTGAGAATTAACCATAAAATTTTATATAGTAAGATAGTAAATGTCAAGATAAGTTTAAGACCACGGCAAAGCTAATGAGGATCTCTAACCAGTAACTCATAAAATAGCTAATGAAACTCCTGATGCTAATTACGGAAAAGCTTGGCTGGGAAGCTGGTTAAATCGAAAGGCTTGCTAGCAATAAAACACACGTAAGACCCAGAGAGAAAGAAAACTAGTCTTATTTGTTCTGCTGGAAATCCTTGTTTTGATTGCCAAAGATTAAATTCTATGGGCAATATTCTTTGCTTCCGTAATAAACTTAAAAGATTGCTACTGTTGTTTTGTGCACCACTCACGATATTTATCCCCCCCAATTTTTTTCTTACTGGGATACGATGGTGCTGGACTCTACTAAAACAATTCCATGAAGAATAATGAGAGTGAGAAAGATAAAGCATGAGAGAACGGGGAGAGAATGGCACAAGCAGGGACAGCGTTAGCCTTTGCCTTTCACCTCCAGAGACCCGAGTCTCAGCTATTCCTCAGGGGAGAGGGGATTAACCTGAAATGTGTGGGATAGAGTGTCCTCATTATTTTCATGGCACCTGAGCATAGCAGCATTCTTAACATTTTATTTTAATTAACATTAAAAGGATTTCCTTATGTGGGAATCATAAATTCCCTCCACTATTGTCAAGAAGAAAATATCAACGTGAACACTTACTACCACACACCAGAGTAATGTATCAAAAATAACAATGCCTTCCAGTTATATGGCTCTACGTCTTTTATAAATTAATTATATTCATTGTCATAGGAGACCTTAATAATAGCTTGTGTGAGATAAGTGACAGACGTTCCAGTTTACTCATCCGTAAAAAATGGGGATCCCAATCCTTAATATGATATGGTCATGGTGAGGACTTAATGATAATACATGGGGATCTGAGCAGGGATGCGAGACACACATAATTTATCGTAACCGAACAAGTGCTGCTGTGAAGGTTCCCACCAAAAGGCTGAGTGATCAATATTTGCGAGGGCGGCAGGCAAAGCTTTATAAAGGAAGTTACATTTGAGCCGAACCTTGAAGGGCAAGCAGTTAACTAAATGGATGAAGAGGAGGATAGACTTTCCAGCCAGAGGTCAACTTTTGCACAAAAGCGGAGTCAGATTTGTGGGGAGGGCAGTGCTGCTACACAATCCAACAGTCAGACTGAACATTTCCTGGGGGCACCAGCGAAGCTGGAGCACTGCTAGAGAGGAAAGAGAGAAATTCAGACAAATCTAGAAAAGTGCTCATTAATTTCAGCTTATGCCTAAGTGTGGTGTGATTTCCTACAATAAAATGTTAAATTACCGATTAGTGTTGTTAACCTGTGAGACAGTGGGAGGGGCCAAAATGTTTTCAGTGCTTGGAACTTTCAAAGGTCTTAACTTGGCTGTGGCTTGGGAAATACGCAGTGTCGTGTGGTTGGAACAAAGAACTTGAGACAGATTTTGCAGGAAATTCTATGTTAAACAAAGCAATTTGGGGAACCAGGGAAGTCTTTTAAGTGAAGCAGCCATGTGATCAGACCTATGTTTTGGCAAGTGACTCTGTTGGAGGATAGGGGAGGAGCT